TGATGCTCGTCTAAACGATGGGAATAGTGCGAGGGTGGTTGTGTGCAAGAGAAGCGATTTCGGGACACAACGCATTCAGCCATTGTCTGAAGCGAAAGGTTTATGCTTATCTCCTTCTACAGTTAACGGACAGTAGATAACAGGGGCAAGTCGTACTTCGTGAAGAGAAGGGAAGGAGTCGAAGCGCGAGTCTGTTCCTGGCGGAGTTTGTACGAGGAAAGAGTCTGGCCGCTATTATTGGGCGTTGTTGTGGGACAATTCGAATGGTGTACTGTGCGGAAGGATTCCGAACAACGTGCAGCTAAACTCTACAGCACAGTTTGACCGCATGCCCGCTCGTTAGCTGCATCTCTGTTATCCGACGCCTGGTGTGTGAGTAGCTTAAGCCGGTGTGTTAACTGTTCTAGCGCACAGAGTGATCGAAGGGGAGCCGCGAAGTTGCAAGCCTGTTCGATTTGGCCGTGCATATTGACAAAGGAGGGGTAGGGCAAGAAACAACAAAGGTGGCAGGAGGATTTGCCTGGTAGTGACTGAGTGAGTACACTTTATGCGGTGGTTGAGGGAAAAAGCAGCGGATGTCGCACCTACGGTAGTGGACTGTGTATAGTTGCTCGCTTGTTGGGCATCGGTTTGCTACGTCGAAGAGCTGCGGTGCGCACCGTGCGCTTTACTGCAGATGTTGCATGCTTATTGCACGACGCTGGGATCCTCGCTTTGAGCAAAGTCCTCGACCGGGGCTGCTGCCCCTGGGTGGCATTTCAGATAAAGACACGGACGTGTGCTGCATTTTGGACATAGTTTTTGTGGGCAGGGGGGTTGCGTTCTGGTCAGAGGGACGGAGTATGGTGGCCTGAGAATGTAGCCAGGCCGCGGTAAGGTGTAGCAGCGAAGGGGATTACTGCTGCATCCTGAGAAGTCATCAGAGAGTTGGACTCGACAGTTTGACTAAGTTCCGATCAAGCTGCTGCGTTCTTGGCCGCCATTGTGGGGCCCTCAGGCGCTGAAGGCTGGAAGGACCTTCTCCCGCAAGTCTGAGTGCACCTCCCTTGGATCTGAGAGTCTCAAAGTTCCTCTTTCTGCCCTTCTCATTCTAAGTCTAGTCTATTGGTTTCGAGAGGAAGGCGGCAGGCGGGATTGCAACCCGTAGGACCGCAGCAAGACTCTGTGGAGAGTTATCCCACTGATTGCGGGAGCTCTGCCGGAACTCAAAAGGAGTTATGGAGGGAGGGAACCGAAAGGTAACCATTGCTTCCTTCTATAAACCCAGATTATAGCCCCTATCTGTACTACGCATTGCATGTTTGACTGAGTATATGGTGTGTAGCCCTACTTTGATTTTTTGTTCGATTGTCAGGACATGAATCAGACTAAATAAAAGAATGTCTGTGCAATCTCAGTTTCAGTTTTGTTGATTGTCTGAAGGCAGATCGTGAACAGAAGGGAATCGCATCTGGGGGAAGGTTGGGAGGAAGGCAGTATTGCTTTAAGGTTTGACTGGGTCATTAAGGCTGGGAAGTCCCCATAAGTTTGGGGAGACCCAGTGCTGTGTTTATTTTGGATTGTGTGGAGCGTCAGACCGTTCTATAAGTTTAGGTGGTCTGATTGCTCTAGAGGTTGTGAAGTCCCCATAAGTTTGGGGAGACCTAGTGTTGTGGGTTTGTCTTGAGGACCAGAATGTTCTATAAGTTTAGGTGGTCTGGTTGCTCTGACTTGAGGGGGCCGCTTGTGATTGACTTTTCAGGGGCCAAGTGCGTTCTGTAAGTTCAGGTGCCTTGGTTGCCTTGGTTACTTTGGGATTTCCTCTGTTTATTTGGTTTTGAACAAGGGAATCTGGGTCGTTATATAAGTTTAGGTGACTTAGCCTCTTCCTGCTTTATTTTGAGGAAATGATCATGACAAAGGGCAGACCGTTCTGTAAGTTCAGGTGGTCTAGCCCAATGCCACGCACAACTTGGATCAGAGAAGAACGAATCAGGCAGAGAGTCAGACTGTTCTGTAAGTTCAAGTGGTCTGACTCAAAGCCCACACATGTTGGAACCCAAGGTTATAATTTGGCTATATTTTATTATTATTCTATCTATGAACAAACTAATCAGACTGTTCTATAAATTTAGGTGGTATGACTATAGCTTATCGCAACCTGAAGAGAGTATAATTAAGAGTATAACTGAAGGTAACTTGGGCCGACTGAGCATTGTTTCTAAGATCAGTGGCTCAGCCCTATGCCCACTTTGAAGATTAAGATCAGAGAGGTATATATAACTTGGCTATTTAAACAGTTCAGGGCGACTAGAATGGTCTAGTCATATGCCCAAAGAAGAGAAAAGTTGTTGTGCCCTGTGCTTGTGTATATTTTGGCTAAGTTGAGCTCAGTCCATAAGTTTGGGTGGCATGACTTTAGGTCTGGCTAAGGTAAGGTTCATTCAATAAGTTTTGGTGTCCTGACCTTATGCCCTATGTAAGTTGGGTATAAAGGGATAAAGCATTGAAAGACTATGAGCTATTGTTTGTTAAGTTGACTTTGGGATGGGGAGAGTACTTACCTTTGTGGTTTGACCTGCATGTGACTGAGTGAGGCCACTACTTAGTCTGAGTTTCAGTTTGACAAGTAGTTGCTTTAGGTGCTCGCCACGTGCTAGACCGATAGGAGTTCGTTCAATTTATGCATTTTCTGAGCTAAGTTTATTTTACTTAGATCAATTCTCGCATTTTCCGGAATCTTTTGTTATACTTGGCTTTATATAAATTTTGGTAAGCTACTTTCTTTATGGGAAGCGCTGTTGAAATTTTTACAAATCCAAGGAGTCAGTCAATTTTTAACTTTTCAAAGTTCAACTGTCTAAAGTTCATATATGACTTCGTAAAAATCTGGAAAGTTTCCTTTTCTAAAGGGAGTGTTACCCAAATTTTTGCTAATTCAGGGAGTTAGAAAAAATTGGACTTTGGAAAGTCAAAAGACTATTTCTGTTTTCATATTCGGGTTGATATAAATTCAGGAAACATTTTTCGTACGGGAAGCACTGCTAAAATTTTCTTAGTTTAAGGCCACGAAGTGGGGTAGACATGCTTATACTCCTTTCAGGCAACTAACTTATATACATATTCCAGAAAGAAACGACTATGGGGAAATTGGTTTACGCACCACACTTAGGATGTGGCGGCGCTTCGCGCCTTGTGGGTTCGAGTCCCACTAGCCGTACACTAGAAACGAATGGCAGCTCCACACTCCATACCTGACATCTATACCAACCTTTATACCTAACAGGATCCAGACACCAGAGGAGCCGTCCTTCCCTCAAGCCTTTTGCCGGAAAGGGGGGGCTCCTTTTTCAACATCCAAAGGCCGGGCGCGGGACATTCAGGACACGCTACCTCGATTGCCTCGATCATTAGGAAAGCATGGATGGCGGAGCGGCGCATCTGGACGCAGTGGGAGAGCGTGCGGCTGCGGTGGCAGCGCTTCGGCATGTCCAAGGGTCACATCAAGTCTCGGTCGACCTATCTATGTCGCAAGGCAGTCTGAGGTTCATATACTTCATGCTTTGTCTTATTCACTTAAATTGGTTGTCACTTTCGTTCTTTACAGTTTGTTTAGTTCTCTGTCCCCCGTGTATGGTGTAGTTTGAAGGCCTTTGTATTGAGTGCCTACGAATGATTGAGATATCTGTTGGAACATCTGCACAAGGCTTTCCCTTGTGTGATTGATGGCCTTAGTTTGTAGTTTTGTTTTGGGATCGCTTCTACTGTTTTCCTGTTTACCGCTTGTATTGGTATGGGATTTTCATGTAAGATGGAGATTACAGAGTCTCGATATTCTTAAGCGCTGGGGTATTCTTGTAGTGGTTCAGGGTGATACTCACAGGGTTGGATGGTACGAGAGACCCGGTGAAGAGCAAACCATGGCGTAAGAGTGCAAGGCACTCCCTCTCCACTCAAGGGCAAGGCTACGCCAGGGCACTGTCGCCATAGCTCTCACACAGCTATGGTGCCTGGCAGGGTAGGCACCACGTGAAAGATCAGCGTCCACCTGTCTCGACGTGGCAACCTACATCGCCGCCACCGCCGTTACCGCCGCTGTATTAGCGCACATTTCGCGCGGCCCCCCTCCCATGTTTTTCCTCCACAAACAATATTTGGCTGAGGGTCACATTATAATTCCTCACAGAATCGGAGATTGAAAAAAAAAAAAAACAGAATCACACAAAGGC